TAGTTTCCGAAGGTTGTTTGGTTGCGTGTTCAGATCACGTTGTGGTCACCACTGTGGCCGTAGAAGAAAAAGGGGGGGTTTTCCCGCCAGGCAAGGTGTTCTGCTCGGGGAGCGGCCAACACTCCATGTGATATTTCGGAGCTGTTCTTTATATACTGTTTATGATTCGGAACTTTTGATAGCGCGATTAAGGCTTCGGTGTGTTTCGCTTGTGGCGCGACTATCCTGCAAGAGTTGAATTCTGCGAAAACGTGCTAAAAAAATTGACCATTGATCCCAAATTCTATGATAAAATATGTGAAGCGACGAGTCTACGTGCAAAAAAAAAACACGGATGGATATTTTAATATGCACAATCTGCACACTTGGCAGCTAACCGGGTTGGTAAGCTTTTGGTGAGAGAAGACAGGTCCCAGTATCAATTTAAAATAATCTGAGATATCAATTTTAATTTAAAATAGCCTGGGATTCTAAACGGCGACATCATCGGTTCATTTGAATTGCCAGGAATACTGATCACAGAGAGTTATTTGCATTTTTTAAGCACGATCTCCCGACTTTATCGAAAAACGTTTCGTTAAAAGAAAGAAGAAGAATGTGGCTGCAGCACGATTGTTGCTCCGCCTATTACGCTCGTAGCGTTCGAGACTATCTCGACGAAAGGTATCTCAGCAGATGGATTGGACGATTAGCGACAATTTTGTGGCCCCCACAATCACCGGACCTTTAGGATTCATACAAAAAATAATAAAGTCATACAGAACAGTATCTCTACACTCGGCCTTACTCGCCAGGCGCAAAATTGCGATATATATAGCGATTCGAAGTCTGCTCTCCAAACTATTGTTCAAGACGTTTCCCTCCATCCACTAGCAGTTAAAGCTAGAAACAACGTGAGGACATAATATATATTATAACAGAATGTCCAATTTACAGTAGACAAAGAAGCGATATACAAATAGATTTCGAAATAAATAGTAAGCAAAAAAAAATGTAAAATAAATAATTAGAAATAAGCATAGTAGAAATAAGTTCTTTAAATATTGTAAGCAAGTAGCTGGTAATGTAGTAAATAAAAAAGAATAGAAATAAGAAAAAGGGTACTGAAACACACCAAATATCAGTTTATAATGTAAACAGTCCCACAAAAATAATTAGAAAAAAAAACTTTAATGTAACAAAAACTGTAAATTGTAATGAAACTTTAAAAACAAGTAGAGAGCAAAGCCAGGAGTGATCTATGATACATTTTATCTGAAAATCTTAGAGAATTTAAAATTAAAACAAAAATTGTTGAAATAAGTGGTAATTGATTATTTTAAATCTAAATAACGCCGCAATAATAAATTCCACCCAAGCGTGGTTGGCAGGTCGCTAGTATTCAACGCGTCAGGCTCTACTGGGACCATGCCATCGTCACAGAAAGGACTATTCTTGCGAGTAAGTCTGATATTGAGCTGATGGACCGGGCACAGTCAAGGATATTTTTGATCGACATTACAGTTCCGTATGACGAGAATCTCGTGAATGCCGAAATAGATAAGCGAACAAAATATCTAGACCTCTCTCACGACGTGACCGGCATGTGATATGGTCTACGACCGAAAGTATCCCTGTAGCCACTCCTGCGAACGAGCTTATCCCAGTCAGCTTCTCGGGTCATCTGATACGACTGAGACTCCGTGACAGACCGCTCCGGCTCAAATGGTTTTAACTTATTTATGTATTTTTATTATATTTATGAGAAAACTTTATGAATAACCCACAATAATAATAACTATTGTTTTAGGTGTTCTACTTTTTTTGTACCAATGTACACACGGGATTATAATCTGACGTAAAATCATATATTATTTTATAAATTAATGAATTAAAGAAAGAATATCACAAGAGGCAAGCAAAATTGGCATAATACGTCCTCCAGACCAAATTCCGATCACGGTGGTTATTCGTTGATGAGATTAGGCACTCTTCTAGTTAGGACAGGATTATAGTCTACGAGATTGTGCGTAAGCGTAGGTGCACCCTTTTTTTCATCACTCTCATGACCCGAGAAAGATCAGGCGCAGGACCAACGGCTTTACGTGCTTGTCCGGGCTGTTAGTGAAAATTTCTTGATAAAAAAAAGTCAAAAATATATTTTGATCCCGACTCGGGATCCGAAATCATTGCAGAGGCAGTCATCTCGTGGTCAGTTATCTTTAATAGTAACACACGTATTGAAAATTTATTGCTTAATTGTATATGCTTTAGGTATATCTTTAATTACAAAAGATATTTAAAAGTATAGAATATTAAAAACGAAAGCTAAATAATTGTAAAACTTCTTGATAAAATCTAACCTAAGAAAAACCTCATTTAGTCTCAGTCAGATTCAGTATCAGACTGACTTCACGCTAAAATTTAAGAATCCATACTGAGTAAAAAAGTTTCTCTTTCTGTTTCTATTCATAGGCTTTTACCTTATTGTTTATTATAAGTTCAGGAATTTTATTAATATTTGCATTAAATAATAAATATTTGCATTTAATACAAAGTAAAATTTATATGCTGTGATATAATTATATGATTTTTCTAAAATGATTTTTTTAATTTTTTTTTGTAATTGTTTTTGCTTTAATAATCCACATTTCAATAGAAGTTTGAAGTTTTCATTGCATTTTACTCCTAGCAAAATTTAGAGATAGGGAATCTTATTTTTAAAATTTTTGAAATTATTTTTATGTTTAAAGCGAATTCATCTCTGGTATAAAAATATGCTGTTTTAAAATTTTATTCGGGTCAATTCGACTCCAAGTAAGTGCTTTTGGCTTTACTATAAAAAAAACTTGTTCAACTCTTTTAACTTGTTATAATAATAAAACATTATTTTTAACGTAAACTATACACAACATGTTATTATATTCTTCACTAAGCGTTACCATTACCGGTAAAACCTATTAAAGTGCACTGCTGAACATCCAAGGATTGTCTCGTAGGGGGAATATTTGCCAAAGTAGCCAAGTTTAACATGCGGATGACAACCGCAATTTTCTTTAATTTTAGTTGTTATCAGAAATGCGTTTCTATCCATCGCCTGATTTGTCTCCCTTAGTTGCCTCTTACGTCACCCACGGGATGTTATGGGGTAGGATATTCTTAGACCGCCACTACGTGACGGTTTAAGTTTACTAAGCATAACTCTTTTATAAAGTGGCCAAGTTTAACAAGCGGATGACAACCGCAGTTTTCTTTAATTTTAGTTGTTATGAGAAATGCGTTTCTATCCATCGCCTGATTTGTCTCCCTTAGTTGCCTCTTACGTCACCCACGGGATGTTATGGGGTAGGATATTCGTAGACCGCCACTACTTGACGGTTTAAGTTTACTAAGCATAACTTTTTTATAAAGTGGCCAAGTTTAACAAGCGGATGACAACCGCAGTTTTCTTTAATTTTAGTTGTTATCAGAAATGCGTTTCTATCCATCGCCAGATTTGTCTCCCTTAGTTGCCTCTTACGTCACCCACGGGATGTTATGGGGTAGGATATTCGTAGACCGCCACTACTTGACGGTTTAAGTTTACTAAGCATAACTCTTTTATAAAGTGGCCAAGTTTAACAAGCGGATGACAACCGCAGTTTTCTTTAATTTTAGTTGTTATCAGAAATGCGTTTCTATCCATCGCCAGATTTGTCTCCCTTAGTTGCCTCTTACGGCACCCACGGGATGTTATGGGGTAGGATATTCGTAGACCGCCACTACTTGACGGTTTAAGTTTACTAAGCATAACTCTTTTATAAAGTGGCCAAGTTTAACAAGCGGATGACAACTGCAGTTTTCTTTAATTTTAGTTGTTATCAGAAATGCGTTTCTATCCATCGCCTGATTTGTCTCCCTTAGTTGCCTCTTACGGCACCCACGGGATGTTATGGGGTAGGATATTCTTTAAGTTTACTAAGCATAACTCTTTTATAAAGTGGCCAAGTTTAACAAGCGGATGACAACCGCAGTTTTCTTTAATTTTAGTTGTTATCAGAAATGCGTTTCTATCCATCGCCTGATTTGTCTCCCTTAGTTGCCTCTTACGTCACCCACGGGATGTTATGGGGTAGGATATTCTTAGAAGTTAGTTTAAGTTTACTAAGCATAACTCTTTTATAAATCATAAAAATTATTGAAGAAAAGCGTATTTTTGTCAAAAACTAGGAAGAAAGTAGGAGGAAAGTACGCAAAATTTTTTGAGTTTGAGTATTGCCTCGCCAAAAAAATCAAAAAGCACTCAGTACTTCAGTGAATTACGGATCCCGCACGGAACTAGTGCTTGTATGATCTACAAAGAATTTTTCCAGGTCTGTATTGTGCAATTTATGTTAGTTAAACGCCTCCAAGATACAGGAGGTTATCTTACTGTGAAATAAAGTTTTTTTTTTTATATTAAACATAACATTATAAGTAAGGATGAAAAATGAATAGGTACACAATTTAATATGATACTGTAGGTGATATACACCTTTTACCTTTATCTAACCTCTTTAAATCATCAAAATGCTTATGTATTGTCACCTCTGAGGACTAAGGTGGAATAACTTATTACCTGTAAAATTACCTCTGCTTCTCTTTACTCACCAAAGCAATATGAGCAACGCATCTGCAGGGTGGTTCTACCATGTTAGCCACGTTTGTAACATACATGTTATTTTGTTTATAACTTTATTTATTTTAAAAACATAGTTATTTAATTTTATAATGTATATAATAATATATCTATAACGTTTCTATACATTACAAAATGTCGTTAAGACTGAGTATGGATACTCCCGCTAGCCAATCCTTCATTTACGAAGCGATTTTTTTAATTACTAAGGTCTTTTCATTTATAATAAAAGTAATGCAAAAATAGAAAAGTGAAATGTTAGATTTTAATTTTTATCTCATTGTTAAAACATAAACACTCACGTCTGTCACCCAGAGGGTTAGGTAGATACTACAGACTTCCATTTGGCACGATCCTGACTCACCTCTCTCGCCTCTTTTACAGCTATCCATTCTTATCCTATAAAAGTCAAAATTTACTCGTAACAATACAACCGTATATGAATTATATCCATTTCTAATTTAATAATGGTCCACATGATGTATATATTTATAACAAGTATCTAAATGCTAAACTGTGGAAATGTGAATAATAAATAATAATATTAATTTTTATTAAAATAGAACACCTAAAACGCCATTTTTAAATTCTTTTGATGTGCAGATGTGACGTTTTTTCATAACGGTAATTATCATCACAATCAAGCTGTACTAAAAATATTTATTTATTATTTAAAAAAAACACTAAAAGGAGGTCTAAATACGTACACATGTAAAGTATCTACCCTTTAAAATTAAAAATTATGCATCAATGAAGTGTTAACCTAAGATTAAAGTGAATATTAAAATATTATAAATGAAAAGTTTAGGTGAATAAATTGTAACTCAATATAATGCTAAACGCATGTTGTGATTACATAATTAAGTTTTATCCAACTACACAAAAGGTGCGTTATGTTTTTTTGTTTTATTTAATTTTATAATATGTTTGTAGCGCACCCTACAACCTTGCTGCTTGAACAATTTTTACAAATTGGTATTGCATTTATCATAATCATATTATTATTTTATGTCTTAATAACTTTGCTCAAGTTTTGTTTTAGGAATACAACAACACCATTACTGTTCTAAATAATCTCAATGCAGAAAAACGAAGTGCTACAGCCATCATTATCTAAAACTTGTTTTATGTTTAATGATGCAGAAAATAACTTTATTTCAAAAATTTATAACCCTGATTCTTGAAGCACCAAGAAAGCTTGTTTCACTCAAATAAAGTTTCGTTGTTGAACCAGTTCCGAAAAAAACATAGTAAAATTATTATTAAAGATTGCGAATATACTAAACAATATCGAACAATATAATTTAAATAGTAATTAACCAAATGCAAAACAGAATAATTAAAAATTAAAAAAAAATCAGAAATCAACTTTAAATACTTGGGAAGAAAATTATTTATTTATATATTTTTGGTTTAAGAAGTAATTTTCCATATTTTTTTTTCAAAAATAATAATGATTTCACCCTTTAGAATGGACTGAGGTGATACAAAAAACCTCAAGGTTACTAGAATGATGTCCAAATAATTTAATCAAAAACTTCACACCCGTGAATGAGATCATCCTTTATGTATATATAGTCTATGGGAAAAAACAATAATGATAGAAATTGCTTTACTTTTACTCTTAGCGAAGATATCGTGTAGCAAATATTTTAAAATCTTCTGTCGAATTGAGCAACTGAAGTCGACTAAAAATGCAATTAAAACACTGAATTGTACTTTTCATGAAATAAATGAGAGGGTGATGTAGCCGAGATGGTGGAGCGCAAGCCTCCACCGTCGGCTACATCACCACGTTACATAAGGTGGGATTGTAGTTAAGCAATGGCTTAGAATAATAATAACTATATACTCGAATTGCAGAAGTGAATAATTTAATTGTTCAAATTGTTGAAATATTATTATAGCTAACTAAATGACTAATAAATTTACTGATTCAAAGGTATTCTTCTAAATTGTAAATTAATCTCGTAGCTATAATAATTGATCTCGTGATTAAATGATAATGACTGAGTTGATCGAAAAAATATAATTGAGCGGTGTCTATCTGTGTTAAAGTTACATTTTCATTTTGGTAATCAAGGTGTGTGTAAGCTTTTCTGTTTTGTTACGTTTCGCTAAGAAACTGACCAAACGGTTGGTGATTTTATTTTAGTAACAATTTTTTGTTTTTCTTTGTGCAAGTGTCAGGGTTTAAAATGGTTAATTTAGGATATCGTTTTATTTAATCATAACTATGATTTCACGCTAAAATTTAAGAATCCATAAGCTTCCAAAAGCAAAATAGAGAAGTTAACTCACATATGATGTTTGATGCAGTAGCTTGTTCGAAATCTCGTTTGCAAACAACGTCAACAGCGTATCAAAATTTATTCCGCTGAGCGATACTAGTTGCTAGAAGCAGTGGTTACTTTAATGTAAGATGCTTTAAACTTATATTCAGATACAGAATATTTTAATGATTTCATTCAGAAAAAATTATTAATGTTGTATTATAAGTGAAGTGTTTCCTCAAGTTACGTTGACACATTTAGTATTTAAACAGAAAGTCTGGCGAAATTAAAAAAGTTCTATGGTATTAACATCTATACAAAATTTCATGCATCGGCACTAATTTTCTAACACTTCTTCCAGCCGCCTCGGATACTTATTTTACGGCCTATTCGAACACTGCCAAGTAAGTGTAAGATCTTCCGATAGTAAAGATAGCTATCGGAATCCATAAGATATTTTCTGTGATATTCTTGTTAGTCAATTTTACGACACCCTAAAATAATGGGGGTAATAATTGTTTTATTCCTAGTTCCGTTTACACGGTATGTATGTTTGTTACCACATTTTAAACAACGATAAAACTGACTTACGAGAATTTTGCGAATACTATAAAAGATTCTAACATAAAGCTACAACCATAAAATATAAAAGTTAAGCCAAGCGATCACGGAATAAGTTTTAATAACTCAGTAAACTAATCTCATCAATTTACTAATTCTCTTTAATCCCTTAAGTATGATGCGAGTTTTCAACTACCGTAAAATAAATTCGACGTTGGATTTATTAGCAAGATGACCTGAATGCTAACATGAAATGTTATATATACTTTAGAGTTTTAACTCTAGATATGATCGAGAGATCTATACAGTCCTAAAATGTTTAACTTTTAAACATATTTTCACTCTACAAAGTAACGTAAGGACAGTTGCGATTCTCGTCGGCTTATACGAGTATTGATTCATATTGATATTGTTAATTGCAATTTTAGTGTTGATTTATCACGCGTGCCTATTATTTATAAGTTTCCGTAAATTCAGCCTGCACATTCAACAATTATTAATTTATTTCTTTAGATTCTCAATTATACTATTCATTTTTCACCATTTTCTCCTTTTTTATAATCCTTTCCGCTGTAAAGAAAGTCTATATGTATAAATCTACATTGTCAGCCTAATTTTATTCGTTAACTAAAACGTAACTAAAATGTTAGTTCTTAAACTAAATAAACATTAATTGATGCTAGGCAACTAGGAAAGTCATTAAGTTATTAAATTTTCATCTTTTCTTAATAAGTCAATAATTTTAGTATATTCAGATGCCCAGATACATTCAGTTTAGTTAGATCATAACGTTAATCATTATTTACTACTAGTGGAAAATAAAGATTGACGTTTAGAATAATGAATTTATTTTCGTAATTAAACTTTTCTACTACTAACTTTTCAAGATGATGCTATCATCTTGAATGGTACAATATAAACTGAATTCAAATATAGGTGTAACATTTTTAACATAATACTCCAAAGTAAACATACATTCTTTAAATTTTTCTGTAAGGGGATTTGGGTTACTTATATAAATTTACTTAGTTAAGAAATAAGTAATAAAAATTCATCACGCTTAAACAACAAAAAACTCAGTTTTATTGTACGCCTCATAAGCGAAGCGTTGAGGTTGTGCTCTACTCTCATCTAATGGAAATCCAGTAATTTTCTGACCTAAAAATGTCTTTGTTTTTTTAATATTGCACTTTTAGAATAATAAAATATACACATATATCGAGAAAAATCACTAGTTTTCATGCTTCTGTTATTTTTAAAAGTAATTTTCTGTATTTAGTGTAAAAACAAACTGATTGAAAAAAAAATTCGAGGGTGTCCGCATGTCTGTATGTGTGGATGATGACGCACGATTACGGTTGTTAGAATTAATGTATCAAAATAATAATTTTCGCTCAGTAATTTGGTCTCGTTTAATAGTAATTAATGAAAGTGTAAAAAAACAACTAGTACTTTTCAAAAAAAAAAAATATTCTCATGAATCTCTTCTTTCGTCTCACATATGGAAAAAGAGATATTTTTCTTTTTATAAAATCAAATGAGATTATGAGGCATGCACTTTTGGATTTTCCAAACTTTATAATTATATACTTCATAATGACGTAGGAAATTCGCCACTACGGGAAGTAGAAAAACATTGTTGTTGGACTGCTATCGGGAAAATATTTTTTCCTTTTCGTTGTTATTTTTTCCTAGAACATAATACAAAAATGATACTTTTAATATGATAAGTGAAAATCAGAGAAGGCCTGTGCCCAACTTTGGGAAATAAGTTGGCTGGAACTTCTTACTTTTGAAAACCGTGACTCTTCAAATTCAATTTGATTTTATAATGTACATAAAATCTTCAAAAACTAAAGCAAACTTAAATTGTTAAATTTTCCTTCATGGTAAACTGGAAATATGCTTAAATTTACGAGGCTTAATGGCCCTGTTTTAATTTATTTAGCGTCAAGAGAATCGGGTGACGTTAACTTAATTGTAAATGAATTAAGACCACCTTCGGGAATATCGTTACTCGTGCCCGGGTTAAGTGAGCAATAAATAAAACATAACATAACTTACAGAACCTATAACTCGGAAATTCAGCTTGTTTTCATTGACTTATTTTATCTTACATCTACATTTATCTTTACTAGAGGTCGCCTAGTGATCGAAATTTAACCGTAATTGTAGGTTTGTATAATAAGCTAGCTGTATATCACTTGTGCGACTTTTTGACCACAGGCTCCTAATTTTTTGTCCTTGGAGTAATGACATACATATGCTTGTACATACTCTGAGGCATTGGAATGATATTAGCAGTATGGACTAAAACGTAATGATTATATAATGATTATACAAAAAAGACATAGTTTGTCCAAGCGCCAATTATATTTAATTTAATAATGTAACATAACATATAGCAACAGATTGAATTGAACTGAACTGATATTTCAAATAATAGGTACTTTTGTATTCCATGCTAGATAACTAATAGTACCAGTTACTCGACTCCACCGTTTTTTGGGCGATGTATACGCCAGTGCCGGATTAAGCAAGCTCGGGGCCTGTAGCAA